AAGTCAACATTAGTTTCGTGCTGCCTAAGATCAAGGATTAGGAACATATCCCTCCTTATATATTAATTGAAAACGTGCTGAGTCTATGTGGCAGGCTCGCATGCTTCGGGATTTTATGTGGCAAAAATACATGCTTCGTTATTAGGCTTTGGTAGATTTAATTTACTTCTAATCCAAATATATTTAGGTTCGGATTATCTATAATATGTTGATTATTTATGGTAAGGGTGGACGCCGGCCAGGACGGTCTTGGATTTGACTTGTCCGGATACCCATCCCACTTTTATGAATCCGTCCATGAACGAGGCACCATCGCCACTCATGTAATACATGAGTGTTGTACTAGTTTTATTTTAAACGGAACAATTTATATGTCGAACATGATTTTCCTACTCGCAAAACATGACAGACCTTATTGTTTAGCACGAGGGACTAATTGCCAGGTCCCGCCCGTACGCTTAAGGATAAACAAATGAGAACAGAAAACTTTTCAGGACAAAAAAACCACCAAACTCATGAAAATTTTGAACAGCATCAGCAAAACAAGGTTCACACACCACCACTCCTCCATTTTCATCTGAACACCCAAGAAGTCTGAATTTCAACCAAAGACGAGGGAGGACCCATAAATGGGGCCATTTAACACCAACCACTTGGAGAAAACAGCCCAAGATTTCAAGTGGTAGATGTAGGGAAGAGAGGAAGTGGACCCATGAAACTCAAAGGCCTTGTTGACTTCTTCATAGACAAGAGCTGTGGGAATTTGCACGGGAAGTCACGAGTAGTCAATCAAGCCCAACTTTCCACTAAGTGCAAAATCCCATATATTATTTACGAAGGACATATCCTCAACAGCACAAGGGACCCTCAACAACAACAGAGCACAGGCGAATGCAGCAACGACTCAGAAATTCAGGAGAAGCTTTCAAACTTGTGACGAAAATGTAAATTTGAATTTTGATTTGGAAATTGACAAATTTGGAAGGTAAATTTTTGTTCTCTGTTGGAACAATTAATAATCCAGCATCTTTGAAAAATGGTTCAAGATAAACATAAATGCACCACTTCACCCAAGAAGAAGAAGAAGAAAAATGAGCAAATCCAAGCCATGACAGAGTATGGGACAATAATGGACACATGACAACACTATATCATGGCACAAACCAAAACTATACTCGTTATTCTATTCTTCGTAAAAACCTAAAACCGCCAATAATTATATAATTCGCTGGCAACTTAACTTTAAGCAGAATACTCACCTTCAAGGGTTTGTCCACAGTTTGTTAAGGCATCACCGAGAATAGAACTGGCATCCCATGTTCCATGATTCATTTTGTTTGAAAGCCTTCAATTAAAAGATTTGAGTACAGAAACCTTCACAGCACATGACAGGTAAGAAGGAATGTTATAAAGTACAACAAAAAGGATTTTCCATATGCGGGGACAAGATATCCCTTATGTGGAAGAAAAACTGAATTTTTCAGGGAATACCAATATAAACTCAAAATAACCATGCTCTGCCTAGCCAAACAGATCATCATCATCATCATCATCATCATCATCATCATTATTATCATCACCATTGTTAGTCAAACTGCCTCCACTTTTACTAGGAGAACCTTCTAGAGCCCCTGACCCAGCAGATGCATATGCCCATGAAGAACCAACTTTAACAGATAACGAATCTCCATAAAGATCACCGTATAATCCAGCATTCTTTGCTTGAGGAGCCTTGACCTTGTTCAAGACCTCTTTCAGTTTTTCAGTTACACCACCAGTTTGTGCATCAGTGGCTTGCATCCTGGGATTCTGTTCTTTTCCCTTAGGTATAACTGTAATCTGTACAAGGGATTCATATTTCCCAACAAGACTTCCTTCTTTCACGCCCACTGGCCCAGGCTCAGTCTCCACATCAGCTCCATCAGAAAATCCAACAATTTCAACAAGCTCTGCCCCAACTTGATCCTTAAACATCACCCTTGCTCGTTTTATTCTCTTTGATGCCCTTTCAGCAACTGAAGAAAATTCTGATCCTGCCGATTTAGATGGTGTGCTCAGTACTTTTCGCCCATTCAAGGACTGGTTGATGCGCGTGTTGTAAGCTAAAACTTCTTCTTCGTTCGAGGGGTCGGGAGGTGGCAGCAATTCAATCTCCGCCGGTTGAGGAGCTGGCGGGAAAAGAGCGGCATTGTTCTTCCTCAACACGTAAGTTCTGGTTGAAGCAGCAAAACGCAGGGATTGCCCGGCCTCGAGTTCGACGGGAGAATCTTTAGTCAGCCGCTCGTTGGCTACAAATGTACCGTGTGCGGAGCCCAAGTCAATCACGTATATGCTGTATGGTGAAAAAAAGGGTAGTATCAAAATCAGCCAACGGAAAATGATATGATTTGCATTTTAAATATTAATGGTCAGTATGAGCCTATTCAATAAGAAATAGTTGCTTCATAAGATCAACTACATAATTTGAAAAGAAGCATCATAAACATTTTAGTTCATAAGCCAGCTCATGTAAGCTAACATGAAGATTAACTTCCAATTCGTATTGTTAGCAATATAGGAAAAATTTGGAGTCTAAATATAATGAGACAACCATTTTGCACCACAATAAAGTTATGGTAGAGCACAAATCTAAATGTACACTGAACTATAAGGACAAGTGTAATATTAACAACAAACCCTTACCTGCCATTTTTGTGTGGAACCACAGCAGCATGCTGTCTCGACACTGACTGATGATCAAGCACAAAATCACAAGCATGAAACTGCCTTCCGAAGATATGCCTCTTCTTGTCCAGCCTAACCTGATCAATAACTTCCCCGTCCTTCAAAACTTCGAGATAGTAGACACCAGGCCGCGGCTCGATTGCCCAGTCAGGAGGCTGCCAGGTGGACTGTCCCCCTCCAACCTGAGTAGCTTGTTGAGCTACAACAGCAGTTGGGCCCACATCTGCAGCTACAACCCTTGTCACTGCATTCTGGTGGTTCAGATATTGGTTTTGTGGAAACAAAACTTGTGTTTGTTCAACAGAAACTGCAGCTGGATGGGCTAAAGCATGAAGGTTATTATTTTTAGAGGTGGGTTTTGTGGTGACTGAGAATGGTTCTGAAGACTGGGCTTTCTTGAAACGATCAAGGCCCGCTCTTCCGTACATAGTTTTCAATGCTCAATTTACATCAAGAGCTTTTGGATACTCTGACCTAAGAATACAACATCACGGCACCAGAATATGAACACAAACCCTGCAAAATCAAGTATCAGATAGTGTTAAGTTTCTAGGGGTTCTTCAGTAATGATAAACTAAAATAAACAGTAAGTCCTAGTGCTAACTCAAAACATACACAACATTGAATTTCAACAGTAGACAGATAGCAGGAGCTTAGTTGTTCCTGTTTCAGAAAACATCAGATGGGAAAATAGAAATGAATGGGCCTTGGTAAAAAGGTGAAATTGGGAAGACAAATGGGAAATCAAATAAATCTACCTACTTGGAGGCTGCAGCCCATATCTACAACACAATGCAAGACAAAACGGACAAAAAAAATAGCATCTTGTAAGCAGGCAATGCAAAACAACAGCTGAAAAGATATATAAGAACACGGAAAAGACAGAAATTATCAAACGACAGTATTGAGTTAGTTCCTCCAATCCTCCTCCGGAAAAAGGATAAAGAAAAGAAAGGCAAGTAATTCTAAATTAAAGCAACGGCATCTTCTCAAGGTTCTCGATTTGCTGAAAGAAGGATAATTGTAATTGCGTATGCACCCACCTCTAATATGAGAAACGTTTCGATGCAAAAGGAAACCTTTGAAGTGGGGAAATTACAATACTAATAAGCGTGAGAAAGGAGACTTTAATCTGTAAATCGACGAAGGAAAAGCCTGAGGAAGACGGAGGGAGGAGTAGGGAAAAAGTAATGTGGGCCGAGTTATGGATTTTGTTTTACAAACTTTTGATAATAGCCCATATAAATAAGGAAAATACTACAAACAATGATTCTGTGAGGATTATTAGCCTTTAAATATGCATGTAAGTTAGTTATTATATATAATTTATGGTTAAAAACTCTCACAGAGTCATTCCATGACGGAATTTACATATTTTAGGTTAATATACATACATATACCTGTTATAAGACTTAATTGTAAATTTACGATTAAAAAAATCTTTTATTATATAATGTTTTCACAACATAATATTTTTATTTTTACGGATGCTGCTAGCCATTCTAAATAAATCGCTCTAATTATGGGATGCTGCTAGCCATTCTAAATAAATCGCTCTAATTATGGTATCCGTACGGAAATTAAAAAATA